CGGCGGTCCCTGGGAGGAATCCTCATGTCATTGATCTGCCCTTGTTAGCAAACTAGTTTGAGAAAGCTGTAATTCTATATTAGACCAAGATGTCCTGGTTTCCTGTTTAGAGGGAAAAATAAAGCAAAATCAAATATCCTCTGCCAGTATGTCTTGTTGAAAAGTGAAAAGATAGAGGTAGGCTCAAGGGAGCAGTACAGCTCACTAAACCTTGCATTTTCACGAGTAATCCTGAGTTACTGCTGCTCGCTTGCTCCACGCTGTTCCTTAGTTCTTTTCTCATTCAGACTATTTACAATAAATAAAATAATTGAAATGCAACGCATTTTGAATGGTTAGTTAGGAGATCAATAATTTTGGAATAGAATATTGGATTTATGAATTTGACAAATTTAAACGCAAGCAACTTATCGTCTAACAGCAAATAAAGAGTCCTGTTCATAGCTTTTGTGCTGTATTACTCAGCTTTCACCTATTCTTTGGTTAATCTTTCCTCTCTAACTGTTTTCAGTTGATGATAAAAACTTCTGCCCCTAGGCTGTTGCCAGGAATTGAGTCCGTGGGCAGAGCAGCCTGGAGCAGCTCTGCCCGCTGGGTGGATTGATGATGCCATGGGAGCTGGTGTCCCCTCCTGGTCCCCTCTTGCTCTCCCCCTTTTGGGTGACCTGTGTGTCATCCACCACCCCAGACATCTGTTGGCTTCTCCATCTTTTTTTCCTGTCCTGTAGGCCTCCTCTTCCTGGGAGGGCTGTAAGATTTTTGTTAGGATGAGGCTGATGGGCCACCCTAAAGGGAGGAATTGAGATTGCTGGTGGCAGTGGCAGCAAAAGCCACAGTAGGTGTCCAAGAAAAATAAGAACAGGGCGGCTTCTCTCCCATGGCTTGTTGCTTTTGCAATGTCCTACTGCTGCATTTTTATTTCATTCCAGGGGCTCCTTTCCCTCTGCTCCATCCGTCCGTTCAGCATGAGGGTGTAGACGGCTCCAGCTCTGCCCCTCACCCTTGTCTCCCTGTGCTCGCACCTGTAAATGGGCTGGCCCGTGCGATCTCCTGCCTGTAGGACCTGAGCTTTCTTCCTGTGCAGACAGGAGAAACGACTCTTACTCATACTGTTCTTTGACTTTTAGTGTATTTTACAGTGGGGGAAATAACAGGTTTGGGGCTTCCAGAGGTTTTTCCTGTGAGTCTGATTTAACTGTGCAGTGTTCAAGAGCAGAGGTTGCTTTTTCTCACCGCTCTGTGTTTCCGCGTAACGCAAGAACACTGCTGCCCGTTGCTTTAGTGCTTGATTGCTGCGTCTGTATAATGGATGGCAAAAGCCAGGCTCCAGGTGGAGCTCCTTGAGGAGTCTTCACCTTGTGGGCGTTCTCCAGGTGGCCGTGGATAGATGCATGTCATTTTTATTAGCAGTTACTCAGAATTGGTTTCCACTCTGATTTCCTCTGCCTTCTCCCTGTCTTCCCAGCGTTATGGCTTCATTAGCAGGCCTCAGCTGTTGTCCCAGCCCATGGGATGCGATGCCAGTTTTTCATCTCTGAGCACCATGTGTACCCGCTTCAGAAATCTCATGTGCATATGTTTAGTGGAAAGAAGTCCAGGCTGCTGTCACTTCAGGGTTTGTGTGGCAAAACACAATGACGTTGCCGTTAGGACAAGCTTCTGAGACATGTAGTGTTTTTCCTTTCCTTTTCTCAGCAGCTCACGTTAGGAATTTTTAAAAAGGTATTGCAAATTGCGTTGTTGACTCGGTTTTTTCAGAGCCTAAGCACTGGCTGTATTTTCCAAGCTCTGGGGGAGGGCACAAGTGGTGGTTGTGCAGACCGTAACTTCTATTTTCTTGACTTCCTTTCACATACAACTCTGAACCACAGTATGGCATTTTTGTAGGGGGGTTGCGTTAAATAGATATTGTTAGAAAAGGTCAGTAACAATAACGCACACATTAGCAAATTAAGGACTGGGTATTTCGGGAAATCAGACGCGTTCATATTTTTATTCCAAACTGACTTGTTCTGAAAAACAATTCTGTTATTGTTTAAAGTGACATGTAAACAGTCCATTTTTACATGAATGCTTCTCAGAATTTCATGGATATTTGGGGTTTTCATATCTGTGACTGCTGGGGCACAGAACTAGTCAGAACATGATGGAAGTATTTGCATCTGCTTCTAAAAGTTTGCAGTGTGAACATGTAGGTGAACGTTACTATTTTGAACTTGGTTCCTTAACATAGAACTTTCCGAGATACTGATGTGATTGTAACAACGGTTTCTATGTTTCTCTCACAAAAAATCCTAGTTGGATAACGAGTGGATACTTCTCACCAGTAGCTTGGACAATTTTAAAGGACGTTCAGCAACTTCACTGCCACATCCAGCAAGTTGTTCCTGCGTCCACTTTCACGTTGTTACAAAAACACCGTGTCCGTGGATTGCCGCTTAGCGAGCTCTGAAAGAAGGGACGATCAGTTGGGGTAATAAAAATGACATATGGGAGGCAGAAGCTGTGATTTATTTGGGGAGATTGAGTGGAGTGGCAAGCAGCACTTTAAAGGTCACTTGTCTCAAATAAAGCTTATATCTCTCTCAAATTTAGAGAGAGATTGCGCTGCTTCCTTACATATAACTTGCGTTAAATGTCTTTTACAATAACATATTGTGAAGTCCAGCATGAACATCGCAAATGCCTGTGTGTTTTATAAACAGTGGAAATTAATGTGAATACTGGCAGGAGGAACGCGTAGCTGCTGTAACGCCCTTAATGACTTGGTTAGAAATGCTTATTTGGGAAGGATGTTAGTGCTTGGAGTTAGTCTTCAATGCGTGGTTATGAAAGCCACATACAGACAGAACTTCCTCTCATTTTGAGAGTTACGTCCTGCTCCAGCACTATGGATATATAAAATAGCTTTGGTCCCGAGTATCTTAAAATCGAAACCGGAAATCGAACCGGCGCATGGCAGCGGGCACGCTGCGTGCTGTGTTGCGCTGTTTGTCAGCTAGCGCGAGTTGACTAGCGCTGGTTCGCGGCGTGGAGCAGGCGCCTGCCCTTGTCCTCCTGCCCCTCTGCTTGTCGTTGACTGTCACCCGTAAAAAGTGACGGTCCGGGGCTCTCTACTAAAACTAAATCTCTTCTTTCCTGCTTCACTTTCTGTACTTGTCGCTGTTGTTCCAGAAGAGGTCACGTCGCAGCGTACGTCAGCTCGTCTCGTGGGCTGACAGATAACAAGCGTACCTTTTGGCCAGCGTGTTGCGTTTTGTCAGCTGAGTGCTTTGACCTTCTTGCTGTTCTCCAATACTGAAAATAGATCTTTCAGTCTGTAAGACTTTTTGGTGTCTAAATATAGTCTTCGAAGTGGATTGTTTCCTCTATATTTGGAGCCAGTTCACTATTTTATATCTGCTGTTTGGGTGGGGTTTATGGGAGTTTTGGAAAACTTTAGAAATCTTTTAATTTTCTTTTCAAATTAAAAAAAAAAAAAATCTGTCTTTCCAAGTACCTGTGAATAGAAAGATATTAGTTTACAGGTCAGATATTTTATACTTTCTTTTTTTGCAAGTAAAACATATATAAAGCTGGAATAATGTAGCTATTGTCAATCAGAAAACAGGTTTCGAGTCTTTCATTTCCCATGGTCACTTTGGAAGTGGTTGGGTTTGCTTGTTTTAGAGCCCCTAGGATAGTCAGGCCTGGGTAAAGATCGGCGGTGAGGATGTGATTGGGTATTACAGGTGTCACCACTTCTCCCATGCTCTCCATAACACTTTTGAAAATCCCAATGATGTTGAACGTGTCGGAGGGCGCTCTCCACCTCGCTTGGGGGCTGGCGAGACCAAGAGCACCACCTCAGGTTTCAGAAGGCGCGTGACAGGCGTCGAGTAGAGCGCTCGTGCTGCGGGCGCTCTGAAAAGTGGACGTCGAAAGGGTGACTCCGAGGTCTGGTTTCCATTTCTTGTAAGTTAATGCTTACGAAGTTGATATTGGACTAATAGCATTTGTACCATACTATCTTTTTGATTAGTGGGACTGACCGCTTTATCTAGTGGTTGACACGTTTGTACAGAATTTTGTTTGTTTTGCAGAAAAACCCAACCTTTTTCGTTTGGATCATAACTTGACGCTATCATTGTGATTTGGGATTTTTTTTTTCCTCCTGTGTCACAACACTTTTTAAAGGAAAATTATGTAAAATAATAAAATTGAGTTTACAATTGAGTGTAAAACAATACTGGAAAAAAACATGACAGAAAATAAATGAGCAGCTGAATTAGAGGCCCAGTTATTTCCTGGTATTCCATGTGGCTCTAATTCTTCAAAAGCCTACTACTGATTTTTACTTTTTTTTTTTTTTGGGTAAAAAGGACATGTTTGTGAGCTTCAGTCATACACTAAAACTTACTTATCTATCTGTGTACATGTGCTCGCTTATGGATAGATACATAAAGTAGAAGTGCTGTTGTGCTTAGCAGAAATACCTAATATTCCTCCTGTGTACTCCTTTTCGTAAAGGCAATTCAAAGCATTTTATAGACCAAAGCTTTGGTTTAAATTACATAACATTTTGTTATGGGATTGGGGTTTTCTTAAGGTTATTCTTGAATTAAAGGCATGAATTTTATTTGTGGACATGAATCCTGTTTCTTGCTGGATTGCAACATAGACTAATGTTTTGGTAGATTGTGAGCTATTTGGCTGGCACCTATGTGTCATTTTATGCGCTCTTAATAGTGCTGGTGTACGTCACTTGGCTGTAAAGGGACGAGCATGCGTCTTTGTTTTAGATGCATGCTAAAGATGCATACTTTTCTGTCTGGCATATATTATGAAATGTGGTTGGGCAAGCTTCATCTAAATTGACATTTCTTCAAAATGATACACATCAGGTTGTAGGTGGGTATCCCAGTGCGTCACAATAGTTTTATGAATAGCTTTGTCTTCAAATCAGACTTATATGTAATCTTTCTTTTTCCTCTCTTTCCCCAAATCCATTTTATTTACAGCTTCCAGCTGATCTTACCAAGATGCATCTTACAGACAATCCTCACCCTCAGGTGACTCACGTCCCTTCGAGCCAGTCTGGATGTAGCATTGCCAGTGACTCTGGGAGCAGCAGCCTGTCTGATATTTATCAGGTAAAAGTGCACTTGTTTCTTTCCTATTTTTTTCTTCTTTGTTTCCAGTTGGAAAATGCATTTTGCCGCTCCTAATTGCGATGGGTAACACTCTGCATTACTGTAGTGCCAGGTGTTTATCAGGAAAAGTGAGGTCAAACTTCCCCTTTCTAAGTGTGTGTTTTGCTGCTGTCTGCCAGAGTTTTGCTGAAGTTTGTATGCCTTTGCACAGAACCTTTAAAGCTGTTTCTGTAATGATACATGTATGTTTTTCTCATGGCAATTCATACTGTTCTTTTTTCCTCTTTACCACAGATTTCTTTAGCAATGAGGTAGGTGGGAGTGACCAGAACGTAGCGGTTAAAGGATTTGGAGGTTAATATTAGTGTTAGTGTTTCGCTTCATTACAGTCTTACTACATACTAATAAATTGTCATTTGTATTGATTAAAATACATTGTAATGAAAAATGAGCGGAAGGCAATACAGCATACAATAAAAGAAATGCGCCTCTAGCAAATCTCTGTGCCATTTAGTGTCCGACTTGGATATGGAAAGGATTTATTTCTAGTTTATTCACTGCTGTGTTATGCACAGTAAAGACTTATTTTTCCTTTGCGACTTGTTTTTTTTTTTTTTTCCCCCTAGTCCTGATAATATTGAGAATATCTTGTTTCCATTAAATGTTGACTGGAAGCAAGAAAATTGATTTTAAACATTCTAAATAAAAACAGTGGCTGCTTAACCAAGATTGCCTCCTTGACGCTTCTGCCTGCGTCTCGGTGTTGCTTGGCTGATTTGCTACCTCTGGAGCTAGAAAGAAGTGGAACAAATTTGTTGTAAAGCTCTTTTTAGGGAAACGTATGTGTTCACTCTTCACATCTTTATACGCCAGGAAGGGAGCTTTCTTGCTGAAGTGGAACAGGTTTCATGAAATTCTCACGTTTCCGTCAAATACATTCCTTGATTATTTGCTTTTATTATTAATAAAAGGTTCTGTTCTGAAAACAAAAGCATGGTAATAAATGCACTTTCTGCAGTGACTGACTGCAAAGATTTAGTATTGCTTCTTCTGAATAGAAGTTGAGTAAAATCCAGAGAGAACTGATTAAGCATATAAATACATGATTTTGTGATCCTTACTCATCTGTAAAGGAACAAAAGCTGCCTGTCCGGGGTGAAAGTGCAGGCTGAGTTTTATGGGTTTGTTCTTTGTAGCTGAGGAAGGCGCTCACCTTGCGTTTGTTCTGATCAGTACTCACAGTGCTTTTCCACTTTTAAATTGGGACTTGGCTCTAATATTGATTATAGAGCAACCGTTTAGTATCTTGTAGGTGTAACTGGATTTTACCCTTTCTTTGTGCACCGTCTGGGTACTGTTTCTGTACCAGGGGCAGAGTTTGGTGATGCTGCTTATCTACAGCAAACTATTGCTATTTAGTTTTAAAGATAAAGCGTTAAAAACAAGCAGTCTTTTAGGACACGACCCATCTGTATGCATTTGTGTCCAGTTTAATGTATTATCTTATGCCAGCGTAGGCCTTGATTCTTTAGATTTGTTTGCTGGAGAGGTCTGGAATAACTTGCATCCCTGAGAAGGTCCTTTTTGAAACGCTCCCTGAACTCTCTGGCTTGGGAGAGGCAGTGTTGGAAGGCTTGGCTCAGTGTCGTGGTGGCGGTGGTGGTGGCGGTGGTGGTGGTGGCGGCTCTCAAAATCACGAGTCGGAATCAGTCTGGGCATTATGTCGCATATGGAAGCTGATAGACAGTTTTCTTTGACCATCTTTTGCCTGCCTACCTGAGTGGTTTGGAGAGGTTGTCCTAAGCGAAAAAGCACTTAAAACATAACATGGATAAAGAAAAATCTCATTCCAGTGATAAGTGAATGCTCCATCGTGTGCGGTTAATTAGCATATTTGAAGTGGCATGTGCCTACTCTTCAGAAAACGCCAAGAAAGCATAGCGGTTAAACAAATAAGAATTATGTTAATAGAAGAAATAATGGAGTAGTATATTAAACAATTGAGTGGCACTATAAACAGTGGTGAAATGTATTTTGTGTACTTAGAGGAATTAATAATTTATTAGTGTAAAAAGGAGCGCAGACTTTCCATTAACAGTGAGGTGGGAGGACTTTGCAGGTAGGAATCTCTTTTCAGTGACCCTGGCCCATGCTTTTCTGCCTCCCGGAGGGGTGCTGGCAGCTCCAGGTTTTGTTAAGTTGTGCGGATGCCTGAGGCAGGGTAACCACTGTTGTTCACTCTCGGGGGAAATCTGCAAAGATGGTGATATATTGCAGCAATATACGGTGTTTTAAAGAGTCAAGCATTTGATGAACTCTGGATGAAGAAACAGATGCAACAGGCATGCCGCTAAATAAATAAATAAATAAACCCTTATTTTTTTTTCCCCTTTAACTTTTCAGTGTATTTTTCATGTCTAGCCCGTGTATGCGTAACGTGCAACTACTAACTTATGAAAAGTTACTGGGTTCTTTATGGGGTTTATTGCCTTAATTAAAACAGTTACAAAGCTTTGGGAGAAGTCTTTTGTTGTTTGCCATCCAATTTTAAGGCCATTGATGCGTTACAGTGCACTAATGTCGTGACATGATATTTCCTGTAGCGTTACGTGCAGTGATGCATCAGTATAGGCAGATTTTGAAATCTGAAATAATAAAAAGGGAAGTTTTCCCCAAAATTCATAATTATATTGAGACGATAGAGAAACTCTCTGATAGCCAGTAAGCATATGTTTTGAGTATAGCGTACTGGCTCAGTAGCGGAAAATGCTTTTTGGTGCCTTAAAATACAGCTTTTCATAAAGTATTTGGAAAATGATGCTTTGCTTTTGCAGTCAGCTTCATATCTATTACATGCTAAATTCTGTAGAAGTATCGTTAATGTTAGCAAAGGAAAAGTATTTTTGAATAATTTTGTGATTAATGTGGACTTGAAATGACTTTTTGAATTAATAGTATCTTAACATTAATTTATGCAGTAAGTAGTGCAAATGTAACTTCAGAAATTAGGAAATATGATTTGAATGCTAGGATAAAAAATGAAACAAACTTTTTATTCATATTTGAAACAAGTTTCTGTTCATCTGTATATGCTGTATTCATCAACAGTGTTAAAATGCAGTTTCGGTTATTCCAGCTGCTTCTCAGTCCAGGCTGTTAAACAGGAAATAACCCTAAAGCATAAGGTGAGATCAGCAGAAAATGAGGACTGCCTTTAAGCACTGCTGTGAACATATGATATTAAACCCTTACTTAATTGCACAAACCAATGAGAACGAATGAATGAAGGCATCTTCTCCCTTCCCCTCCATCATTACTGCTGCCTTTTGGAGCTGTCAGTTTGTCTGTAGTAAAACGCCCAAACGCAGGCATTGCGAATTCCAGCTTGCTTGGAAAACTGCAGAACAGCGATGGACTTTTGGGGCTTTTTTTTTTTTTGGATGGACTTTGTTTTTTAAATAAATATATGTGCTTTTAAATTAAAAACAATTTGTTTGATCTGCATATGGTGGAAGCTTTTTTAGATTCTGTCACAATAGGTTGCTTTCAACCGACTTCTGAAAATAAGCGTAGTTTGAGAACCGTGGTGTTCAGACGGAGATGGGAGAAGCTATGTGGTTACATGTAATGGTTGAAATGAGGGATTATAACTTCTGCAAGCTGCCCCCGTGACATGTAATAGGTATCTTCAGGGAAAAAAAATTCAACAGCTATTACATGGAGAAATCACCTTTCTTTGCTCCTTCACAGAGTAGGCTTTACGAAGGCCAGCAAGGGTAACATAGGTAATCCAGATAATATTTTTAGATATAGATGGGTAGGGTCTTACTTCCAGTTTAATGAATTAGCTGTCTGTATCAGCACGTTGTAATGCCTTTCTCTGCTGCCGTTCCCTTACGGATTGACAAATTCTCGTTTATTTTTCCTACCTGTTTAGTTTTGTCATTGCTCTGCTTGAGGTTTTTTCTCTTCTTTTGTCTTGTTTCATTTAGCACTTTGGTAGTAGGTACTATTTGTGGGCAGCAACGTTATTGCCTAGCAATAATTTCAATTATGGTTAAGATTTTGGTGCTGAAATGGATTATTTGTAAAATATACATCAGGGCGCGGACCTTTTTCTGTCAATTCTGGATATAGGTTTAGGCATTTTTCCCCTGATAGAACTGGCACGAGGGAAGGAAAAACACTCTTAATAGCAGGTGTCATCAGGATTCAGGAGCACTAAAATACATTATCAAAATCATGTTTTTATCACATGGGGTTAGTAAATAGCAGAATTAAGATGTCTGAGTCTCAATTATGCAATTCCTTATTTGGTCTGCAATAATTAAAATCTATATCTTTTTAAGTTTTTTTTTAAGGTATGTTATCATGTAGTTTATATTTTTATACTTTATTGTCCTAGCCTTTTATAACTGTTAATTATCCGTGAGTTCTACCTTAGTTCTTGTGTGCTGCAGGGTCACATCACTGTTTGGCATTTGAGAATAATTCTTTCTTTGCATAGCTGTAATTCCATTGCTGTTGCAGTGTATATGCTTGCCGTGTTCGTTTAAAGTATAAATATCTGTGGTCTGTTGCAGGTCTTGGTATAATTTTTCCCTTTTAGATAACCTGATGCTCATAAGAGACTGTTCACTCGGCTTTCAGGAAGACCCTGTTTAGTGACTTGGAAATATATTTTGTCTCTCTAAAAACCAAATATCTCTTTGGTGTTTAAAAGCTATATTGTACTTTCCAAAAAATTAATTGCAGCAAACTGACAGCTGAATTCTTTCCATGAAAAACTGAGTGTGCCTTTAACAAAAAAACCCCCCAAAGTTACTCCATTACCCATTGTAAATTGTAGGGTGTTTTAAGGTGATTTCATTACTTTTGAGTTTAGATTCTCTGGAGTTAGTCCAGCTTTGAATAAAAAACTATATCTTTTGCAACTAATTTATGCTTAGCTTAAATTTCTCATAACCGATCTAGTGTTGCTCGGTGGTTAGCATTTATCCAGAAGAGGAAGCAACATGACAACTGAAGACCTTTTTGTGACTGCTGTAAGCCTGTAATTGCTTTGCATACCTCTTTGCTGACCGAGAAGTCCTGCCAGATATGAAATAGGAACTTCTCGTGATGTACACCTAGCTGACACTTTCTTCTACCAATTTATGATTCTGACACATTTTATAGTAGAATACATATCGTTATAATGAAAAATTTTAAATGGCTACTCTTAGGGCTTTAAGTTTCACGGTGTGGGCCAGTCTACAGGACATCTTGCATGATCAAACTTTGGCAAACGTGCTTTTTTTGGTCTGGTTAAACATGTTAATTTGCATATCATATGATGCATATCCTTTGAGTCTCTTCCTGCTGCCTTGTTAATAGATATTTTTGCCCTGTAGACCCAATCCTGCAAATTCACATTGGTGTAAGATCTGAGGAGTGGAGCCTTTGGTTGCTTTTTGTAGATCAGTGGTTCATGAATTTTTCCGTTAAGAATAATGTTGAGACTTGACAATGGAAGCAGCTGGAGCATCCTGCTTGGGAAGAGCAGCTAGAGCTGCAGATGGGTGTCTGTGTGTACACCGTACAAACCCCTCCTGCAAGTCTTCCAGCACTGTCTGACCCGCTGGTGTTTTGTGGGTTACCTGTGCGTAATCTTTGAAATGCAGTTTGAGGACCATTTATTACTTCCTAGCCAGTTATATGTGTATTTATAGATACAAATAGGGCACAGTAGAAATGAGGGAATCTGCTCTTACTCTCTGTAGGAGAATATCAGTGCAATGGGGCTGGAGGAACGGTGTCTGGTAGGTGACGCAAGTGCACGGCACAGGGTTTAGCTGTATATAATTCCTCCCTGCTGGTGGCCCTTCTAGAGGGAAGCATCATGTAGCCTTCAAAAGACATATTGAAGCCGGTTTCCGAAAGGAGGGGATGTCGCTCGCTCTTGCCCTTCGGCGGGGACGCAGCCTGCCCCGTTCTCCTGCCGAGGCGTTCCCGCCGGGCTGCCAAGGACATCGCCTGGCTCTCTTGCTGATCTCCTTCGTGGCAGTCTTTATGGAATCGGCTATTTTATCCGTGCCCTGCTAGACGACAGGAAAGTACTTGTTTCCTGTGATCTTACGTCCTTGAAGTAGCTTGAAAAGGAGGAAAAGAGAAGATTGGTTTATCATCCTGTGTGAGATACACAGGGAAACTTTTTAAAATCACCCTTCTGTAGAACCTCTGTGCCTAAGTTCTGCTGTCTTCGCTTGAGGTTGTCAGGGTGGGAGTTAGCGCTGTACTCAGGCTTACTCTGCCTGGAAAAGCTAATATGAGTTGTGGCTATTTAGATGAAGAAATGCTAGAAAAGTCCTTGAATAAAATGCTGTGCTGATCATGTGCTGCTGAGACTCTCCAAGCACAATTTGCACTTGGGCTTAATTCCAAAACTGTTAATGTGAGCTCCATAAGCCAGTGAGGTGATGTAATATGAAAAGGATTTAACCCTATATATCGTTACCCTCCTTTGAAGAAAATATTTGTTAAATCGTTCAAGCCTTATTTCTTAGACTGAATGGATGGTTATTAAAATGAGGACAAGCTCAAAGGTCCAAGGTTTTATTTAAAAACCAATATCTTTCTGTCCAGTGAAAGAAAGAAATGCTGCTTAATCCGTCTGTTGCATTAACAGAGCAACATGAAGTGTGTAGGAATATGGAGATAGCACAGTCAGTTGTGATTAAGTCACTGAAATTTAGTATTGTTTTTTATGATGTAACTCTGTCCTCCAAAACAGCTACTAGTTTGTGATCAGATCACTTAAAATGGTGGGCAAAATACAAGCTTAGTAACTTTCACTGAGTTGATGATCTAATTTGAGACACTTCTAGCTTAAGAGTGAAATGACTCTCTGAATTTTATATACTTCTTAATGTTCAGCCACTGACGTAGGTTTGCAGTGGTTATTTATTTGTACCTGATGGAGCGTAGACCTGCAATGGCTTTGGTCCATGGTATCATCATTTTCTTATAGCTGTTCTTCTTCCAGTTGTACTCGAAGTATTTGGAAGTGAAATGTTACAGGTACATCAGGGAGCCAGGGTTGATGGTCAGTAGGCTAACCTACTGCGGGAGACTGCGTGCGACTCTTGTGGTATGCGCACAAATGTCTGAAAATTAAGTGTAGGCATATCTGTTGTCATCTCACATCTGTGCCTCTAAAATTATACCAAAACTAACTATGTAACAGAGTATATGGTGATACTAATGGTGTTTTTGACAATAAAACTATGTCAGATACTGTATAAAAAAAGAATTTGTGCACAACTTCACAATTTATGCCAATGCCAGTGGGAATTCATCTACAGAAAATTAGAATAGGTTTCTATAAACTTAATGCAAAAATACAGTTGCTAGAAATAATACTGTGTTAGCATCTAATATTCTGTCGTCTTCTATTAAAGTCATTGTGTTTGCTACTGTTCATATATTGTTTCGTCCGACCTTGTATGAGTTTTTGTTATTCAGTCAAATGGGTATTTTGGATGTTTAGTTCAAGGGATTACCTTTAGCAGAATGAAAACTAAACAAACGTTATTAATGGACAATGAGAATAAATAAGACAAGTGCAGAGGCTTAGCTGTTGTTGCTGGAAGCACATCGGAACTGCCACAGTGACAACAAGCAAGTTAGAAAGTTGTGTGGTGATCTAGTGCTGGAAGTTTTAGCATTGCCCGTGCTATTGTGCTTTTTTCGAATCCAGTCCTCTATTTGTGAGGTCTTATGGACATGCAGAGTGATGCATTAGTTTATCTTCAGTGCATCCTGCGGATCTGTCTTGTTTTCTGTTCTTTCAAAGCAAAAGCAAATATTGTAAATTTTTTTCTTTGAAACGTATGCATTTTTCTGCATGTCTCCATAATTGGAGACCTTACCTGGCACATCTTGTTGTTCAAATCCAAAAACATAAGCACACAGAAAAGTGATTTGCATGCTGACTTAAATTTAAAAAGCAGTGATTAAGGAAATGTTCTGTCGAAACTGAGAAATTGAAAGTATCTTTTTTTTTTTTTTTTCCCCCTCTTGCCTTCCATCTGTTTGGAAAATTATTTTCATGCAGTTAAATCATTTAAGCTTTACATGAGAAATGCTGCAAACGATTCTTGTGTGGTTGTGTTTTCTGTTGCCGGTGTTGCTTTCTCTCTTGTTGCCTCTTAGGCCTTCTCAGCGTGATGTCTCTATTGCCATCTATTGATGACAGTGGAAATATTTCTACAGACACTGGGTAACCAGTGTTGTTACTGAACTGCATTATTATTTGATTAATAATATTATTGACTCTTGAGAATTGTGAGAAACTATTTTGTTCATGTGAATTCACAAGAAAGACTAAGCCCTGTAAACCGAGAATCGGCCGATAGAGGACTCCTCGTGTCCTTTTTTTCTAATGTATCTACTCAACCTGACATACCTATTATATGACAGGATTAACATCCATTTTGCAATACTCAAATTACAAGCAAGATCAAATCCCTTTAATTTTAGTCACTCAGTGTGGTTATTTTTTCTCAGTGTCACACAGTTAGTATTGTGTTAGTACTGGATTATGTTGCTTCTTGTTCAGTGGAGGGGGGGGAAAGGGAGTGAGATATAATAAAGATAGAGAACAAATGGTCCAATCATGAAATTGGAGACCTTGAACTCTTTATCTGATGGATGTCTTCTCTGTAGGCTACGGAAAGTGAGATGGGAGATGTTGATTTAACAGGTCTCCCAGAAGCACCTGTTGACTCTGAAGATGAAGAAGAAGAAGAAGATGAAGATATTGACAGAACTTCAGATCCACTTCTAGGGCGAGATGTTGTACGAGAGTGCCTTGAGAAAGAGCCTGCAGATAAAACAGATGATGATATTGGTGAGGAAAAAAAAATCTTTATGTAAAAACTATATATTGTAACCCCAGTAAGAGAAGTCTATCTGAAATTTGCTTAATGCATAGTGTTTTATATATATATACACACACATATATATATGTATATCCTCATAATTATGAATGATTGCTTCCAGAGATCATTTTGCTCTAGTGATATTGTTAATTGAATGATTTTCTTCCAACACCTGAGAGAAGGCTTGTTTGGAGAAACTAAATATTTTAAAAAACGGCTTTTGAGACTCTTGAGATATTAAATATTACAGTGAACCCCCTGTCTGTTGAGATAGGGGTGGAATTGGTAGCAAGGTAATTTTGACTGCCTGATACTGTTGAATTTCTTATGGACTATCAAAGAGAACATACTAATACTGCAGATCAGGCATGCTTAATTTTAAACTGCAAAAGATTTAAGAGGAAAATAATTTACTGTAAACTCTAACTAGAAATTGGCATTAGTTTAATGGTAAAATTTGAGTTATGCTGTACTTTTTCCTCTGATTATTTCTCTAAACATCGGGAAATCATTTCATGCTATTAACAAGCTTATAATTACCATATACTAGGGATATTTTTAATTCTTCCAAATGTTTGAAGTTGAAGTGCTTTTACACTTAGCTAAATTGCTGCCGTAATAGTCAATCCCAGCACGATCGCGGTAGAGCTAAGTTCCCTTTGTTGATGATAACCTGCCTACTGGGCTCATTTAGCCACAGGCACTAATACTGATTGTATTGCCACCGAGCAATTCCTTCTGTGAATTTAACTATGAGGTTTAATATACCTGTTGAGAGAAAGGTATATTGAAATATATGTATATTTAATGTGCTTGTTATGATAAGGGCATAAGGAGCCCTGGGCCTTGCGATCTTCATATCAATGTTTCTTTTGTCTAATAGAGCAATTATTGGAATTTATGCATCAACTCCCTGCCTTTGCAAACATGACTATGTCTGTAAGAAGAGAACTTTGTTCTGTGATGATATTTGAAGTGGTAGAACAAGCAGGAGCCATCATACTGGAAGATGGGCAAGAAGTAAGTTACTGCGCGCAACGTAATTTGAGCACCATAGGCAGTAGGTTAGCAAGGACGTTTGGCGGGGAGAGGGGACACGACTCTGGAAAACGCTGTTTCCCATCTCTGCGCCTCTCCCACACCAGAAAAGCAGAGAAATCTACTTTTACTGTGACCCATAATCCAAAATCAGCAGGCTGTAGCCCACCCATTTGAAATGTTTTGCCTATCCTATGGGCTTTTTTCAAGACTTCAGTGGGATCAAATATAGACATAAAATAGCATTCCATGGTTTATGTTGCAGATAAGCATTAGTATACTGTTATCGGTTTAAGTACTAACATGTGGAGGAGTTTATTTCGACGTTTTTGTGGCATAGAAGAATGCATCATTTCTGTAGGTAATGTAACTGTCTTATGAAGTAATTTTATTAAACTACTGATATGGAGAGGTATCATTGCCCCTCAATGTAGATATCATATCATGAATATCTAAATTAGGAACACAATTTTAATGTGTAGTCAGCGGGAGGAGAGAGATGTTCAAATTACCCAGTGATCAGGCTCCTGTAATAGGTGCTCTGAACTGCTATCTCAAGACACCTCTCTGTCCTTTGATATAATAATAATAATAATAAAAATTAAAAAAGAAACAGAAATGCCACCCCAAGAGGACTGTATAGCCCAGCCTCTCATCTCTGATGGTGATCAAGTGGATACCCTGGGGAAGAGTGTACGAACAGGGCAAGAGCATAGTTTTAACTCTTTCACAATCTTGTTCTTGAACTGTATGGTTGGTGTGGAGGGTCACATGGGGTGAATATCTTTTCTACAACTTTCGTTTTGATTGTAAGATTTTAACCTTTTCTCTAATGTTGACTATTCAGTTATCCTGTTTTAATGGCTTTATAGCTTCGTTCCCACTAAGTGGTATAAATATTTTGTAGTGGTTATTCCAACGATTCCAAAAACAATTCATTTATCAGCATTGCTCACTACAAATTAGTACTAGGAACTTTTGAAGTTGAAATGCCTTCTTGTTACAGTCATCTTTATTGCTTGCCTTGCGGTGTACCCTTTAATGAATTAGATACTGCAAAATATTTACATGCTGTGATGACAGCAAACCTAAGACTGCAAGGATAAGCCTCTCTGAGAGAAAAGCATTCAAAAGTAGAGAGCGTATAAACGTTGTTGAATGAGCTTCACTCTTTCTAAATTTATTTTTATTCCCTCTAGCTTGATTCTTGGTATGTTATTTTAAATGGCACAGTGGAAATCAGCTACCCTGATGGGAAAAGCGAGAGTCTCTGCATGGGTAATAGTTTTGGGATTACTCCCTCTCTGGACAAACAGTACATGAATGGCGTGGTTAGAACGAAAGTAGATGATTGTCAGGTAAGATTACAATTTTATACAACTATCTCATATTTTTAAGCATCTAATAAAAGAAAACAGAATGCTCTCATCTTAAGGCGTGTTCTTTACTCCAGGAGCAGAAAAAAGGAAGTTGGTATTTGGTGGGCAAGAGGCTCTGTTGACATTGCATTAGTTGTACACTCTTAGTAGCCGAGATTTGTTTCACGCCCCTGTTCCTGAGAAACGGGAACTTCAGCTTCGTGCTGAAGGGTAAGCTCGTAGTCCACCGTAGTCATGCTAGGCAAGTGTGCTTGATGTGCACTAAGAGTAGTTAAATAGAAAATATCCATTTCCACTTTTTACAGACTTTGTTCTCTCTATATTTAGGCCATTTAGAGCAAACTTTTGGAGAGTGAAGACGGTGATCTGTTCTGTTTGTCTTCTGTTTATGACTTTATCTCTTTTGTAGTTGGGTGGAACAGACTGGGGTTGATACCAAATGCTGTGCTACTGTGGTGGTGTTGAAGCAGCCTGGAGATGGGGAGGGGAGATACATTCATATTTTTGGATATTTATTAATGATCCTGTGTTGCTGGGGGGCAGTTTGTGTGTATAGCCCAGCAAGACTACTGGAGGATTCTGAACCATGTGGAAAAAAACACTCATAAAGTGGAAGAAGAAGGAGAAATTGTTATGGTAAAGGAACACAGGGAGCTAGATCGCAGCGGGACCCGGAAAGGGCACATAGTTATCAAGGTGATTTTCTTTCTTTGCTTGATCTTCCATTAAGCTATTAAGCCTTTATTTATTTAAAAAAAAAAAAAAAGAAAAAGTGGTTTGAATCTAGAAAGCACTCTCAGCTTTGTCTATCTTAACATAATAGATTTGATTGGAAGGAATTTCTCTCTCCTTTAGTAAAGCATGATCTGTTCAGCACATGTATTCAGGTTTCTGTTTTGGGAGCACCTCTTGTACCTCTGTAATCTGGAAGAGGAACTTAACTATTTAATTAAAATAAAATTATGGAACATTACTAATTTTTCTAGCCAGATATTACCTATGCAAAACATATGGGGGTGGAAGAAGTTTGAAAGTGTAGTTTAAAAGCCGTAGTGTTTTTTTTTGAGTTTACCATAACTGAAATTTGAAAAGAGAGTATGCTGCTCATGGTTTAATGCTTAGATACTCTCTAGGGAGTATGTAGTAGGAAATATCAGTCACTTCTTACATTTAATTTTTAAGGCAACACCTGAGCGACTCATCATGCATTTAATAGAAGAGCATTCTATTGTGGATCCAACCTACATAGAAGATTTCCTTTTAACGTACAGGACGTTTCTAACAAGCCCCTTGGAAGTTGGGAATAAACTCCTGGAGTGGTTCAAAGTGGACAGCCTCAGGGATAAGGTTTGTTTCAAACTAAGAGATTAGTGTTTGTGGTGCCAATGTCTCCAAATAATTTTTTTGATTCATGATAAACCAGAATTATACTGCAGCTACTTTTAATTATTTTAAAGCAGAATATTTTTCTGTTGTATCAAGACATGTTTCTCCATATTGTTGTATGCGTATAGTGTATTGTTCTGAATTGAGTATGTCACTGCTCCTCTCCGGAATTTTTTTTTCTGCTTAATTTTAAAATGTAAATGGCAGTCTCTGAAATCCTTTTGTGTCAGAAATTCAGAGGATTAAGTATTTGTGATTTCTTGGGCGTATCACCTTTGTTCTCACAGCAGCATTGTGCTTGTCTTGCTTAATTTTCTTCAGTATGGCTTTTCAATGTATTGAGTACATTTTATTTGAGCAGCTTTTTACAAACTATGTACTTGAAGTAAGCTATGAGCAAGACAAGTGCAGTTGATGATAATGCCTCTGTAAACAGGACCCGGTTCAACTGCGTGTAAGTGTATGCACGTACGCATGGAAGGTTTTCATGGTTTGGAACTTTTCTCCACAAAACATTTATGGAAAATTATAGCAGCAGAGCTCTAAGCCAGCAGTTTTATATGTTCTAGCTTTGAGCTGAAGGAAACTCAATGGACTATCAAAACAGTGCATTGAAAATTGTCTGGAGTCATTTCTTATGGTTACTGTTTCTCTTTATTCTCTTTTTTATTTGTTTTGGCAGCTACTGCTTTCTTTTAATATTTTAATTTCTCATATTCTTAAGTTGGAAAAGATAGTGTAGATCTCAGTAAAGCATTTCTACTTAATGTCTACATGATTTAAATGAATAATTTACTGGTAGGGAAATCTCAAAACTAAAGTGCTTTGGAGCTGTTTTTCTCTCTTTGCATGAGATTGGTGGCTACTTAGCATTGACTTTAGCACCTTAGGTATGAGCCACCACTAATTACCTGGGTGGAAATCAAGGTATATTGGATAACATTTTTAACACGTTGAAGTTTGGCACTTTTGCATGCAGGGAGAAAAGGAAGGAAAATAAAATAAAACTATCTCAGCAAATAAAACTGGAGGTTATATTTAGAAGAGAGAAACTGCTATAGATAAGCATTTTTGTATAACGTGGACGGATAGAGTAGTTGGCAGACTGACTTTATTATGAGTGGTAAAGTAATTCTGGAGCACGTACAAAGGCAGCCAAAAAGTGTAACTGAAAATTCTTACAAGACAGTTTTTTATTATCACAATATATTTCCCAGAATTTTCCTTAAGGAGATATTCCTTATATCTTTGAGATGCTTTAAGAAGATGCATTTAAGAAATGACATGAAGAAAAGATGACTGAGGATAGATTTGTGCACCTGTAGGTACCGGTGATGTGACCAATTTCTTGTCGTTGTTACTATTGCATTTTTTAAATTCATTTGACTCTACAATTAAAGTGAAAGACAAAAAGACAATTTCAAGTATAAATGACTTACTGTGTGTGTTACTTTTGAAAGGCTGGGGCATTCATCCAGAAAAAGAATAGAATGACAGTTATTCCTTGTTAAACATGAGTCTGTGTCGAACAGCATTTTGTCGTGTTCTTGTAGTCCTCTTTACTTATAGATTTAAAACATAAAGAAGGAAAAACATAGATGCCTTTAAATAAATCCTTTTTCACAGGTTACCAGAGTGGTCTTACTTTGGGTGAACAACCATTTTAATGACTTTGAAGGAGATCCTGCTATGACTCGGTTTCTGGAAGAATTTGAAAAAAACTTAGAAAATACGGTAATACCAAAAAATGACGACTATCATGCTTTCTAATGCTAAGCATTTTCGTTTTCCTGTGTGTTAAAAGTAACTAAAGCATTGTAGTCTATAAGAAAGCTGTCTACAGGTAGCTTTTAATATAGATAATATATATTTATACTATAAATATAGATAAAGATATATTTGTACTTAAATATACATTTAGATACAAAGCCCACATCAAATGACACATGGCACTCATTTGTGTGTCTTGGCATTATTGCAGAAGAGGACAAGATTTATTTAGTAAGATTTGGATACTTGGGATGATAAATTTTCTCTGGCACTTTTTTTTCCTTGTTTTTTTTTTTTTTTTCCTCCCAACTGTTCTTCTATTTCTAGTAAAAGAAACACTGCATTCATTTTGTCTCTTCTGGGTTACAGAAAATGAAAGGACATCTCAGATTGCTGAATATTGCTTGTGCTGCCAAAGCAAAATGGAGACAAATTACCCTGCAAAAACCTTCTAGAGACTCGCCGCTCTTTTTCACCCTCCTTGGAGGAAGTGACAAAGGTTTTGGTATTTTTGTAGAGACTGTAGAAACGGGCAGTAAAGCAGCAGAAGCTGGACTTAAGCGTGGTGATCAGGTAAAAAGAAAAAAAAAATAAAATATTGATCTCTTCTTTTAATAAAAAATTCTGGCTCAACCAACTGTAGGGTTTCCAACAAAAAGATGAGACTGTTTACTAAGTAGAAAGCATCTGACTAATATTTTGAGTACTATAGTTCAGCTTTAAATTTACACAATTGCATTAACTGTTCTCTGCTATTGAATATTTAAATATTTCAAAATATTCAAAATACTTCAACAGCTCAAACAATAGAATGAGGAAAGAAACCAAATTGAGGTTAATTCAGGAAACTTTCTTAAAGGAGATAACGGTAAGTTGAATCCATTGAACTGTTTTGTATATTTACTTAGCAGAGGCACTGATTCTCATCAAGTGTAAATTATCACAGTTTGGTGGTGGAGCAGCGACAGATTACACCAGTTGAAGATTTGGCCTTTGATTCTAGTATCGTTCCTACAGCTTCTGATGCACCATTTTTGATTCAGGTGCAATTCCTAAATACAAGAACGTCAAACTATCATGGAAGATAAATTTGGCTAAAACATTTGACAGGTAGAAATGGAGTTCTTCACTGTTTTTACAGGGTGTAACTTCATGGAAGTGATCAAAACACTTATTTTGCAAGGAATATTTTCATGGTACAGGTCTTATGATACAATAACTTCTGGAAATGTTCTTACTGAACCTGTATTGTCACGTCTGTATTTGTAACTATCATAAATAGTTATCCTCCTAATAGTTCAATTTTTATTTCTTCTAAAAGATAATGGAAGTAAATGGACAGAATTTTGAGAACATTACATTTGTAAAAGCTCTTGAAATCTTAAGGAACAATACACATCTCTCCATTACTGTAAAAACAAACATTTTTGGTGAGTAGACTTTGTATTATTTTTACTTATAAAATTTTTTGTATGTGTGAAGTAAGAGAGACTCCAGTCTTTCTAACCGTAGAAGTGCATTAGTATTCCATCCTTCTTTCAACTTACTCTAGGAGTGAAAGATTACACCCAAGTCCCCTAGTTGTGCCTCCGTTTGCTTGGATATATTCTTGTGTGCCAAGGACTGCACATTGGGTGGCACAAAGCCAGCATAACCAGCTCTTTACTCCCTGAGAAATCCTCAAATGACTGTTTAAGCGGCTTTAGTGTCCCTTCGTGCGATATGGCTGAAATGGAGCCAAGGGATCTGGGCCAAAATATTTTGCCAAGAAACAGCAAAAATGTAAAATCTGGCTTTCGTAAAACTTTTTATAATGGCTGTGAGGATGATAGGATAAATTGCCTTTACATCTAAAATAGAAAATGGGATATAAAAAGTGGTATGATATATAAATGTTGGCTTTTAATTGTCAATGTGAATATAAACACATAAATACCTCTTTAAAATCTCAGTCAAACCATCTGCTCTTTTTCCTTAATCCTGTTCAGGCAACGAAATAACCATAGCTACAGAAAGAACAAGGCTGTGTGTACAAGATAGATTATTTCCTTATAGTTGTATCTGAGACCGTCTAATGGTCTCATATTTTTATTTTCTTCTTCCAGTTAACTTGTCCTTGTTCACTACTGATTTTTCTCTGTTTAATTACAATGTTCTGCTTATTATTAGGCATCATCATTTGTTTTCAACAGAAAATACTGCATTTCTGATTTGAGTGACCTCAAAGATGTTTAAATAAATAAATAAAAATCCATGACTGGATATACCAATTTGAACAATATATTTTTACCATTTATATGTAAAAAGAAACTCAACTAACATAAATATTAATTTTTGCATGGAATGATATCTTCTGGAAATGTCAGCAATAGACTAACGCAGATTGGTAAATGCAGCAGAAAATTTGATGCTACTTACGTTCAGTAGTATTGCTAAAAGCAAAGAAAGGTGGTTGTGGAAAACGTCAATCTGTTTTGCAGTTATTCTTGAGGAAGCATCTGCATTTCATTACCTAAGAGATACAGGGGAAAAAAAACCACATTGCTCTGATTGATGTGAATGTAATGTTTCCTTTTTATCTACCTGACTACCTTTAGCGAAAGGTAGCACAGTTCTGATAAATTTACTGTAATATTTATTAATTTCAAAAGTAGCAAAACCCTTAAATTTTCCCTTGAAGCGGAAATGACTTCCGCTCGTAGAATCAAAAGTCAAGCATAGCACATTGTCTATTTTGTAACTTTCAGGTTCATTTTTTTTCTGGAGGTATGTGGGAAGCAAAAGAGTTGGCGGGGAGAGGAAAATACAGTGTGAAGTTTTGAGCATGCGGAGGGAAACCACACTGTTTGTATCTTTTCTTACAGTGTTCAAAGAGCTGCTTTGCCGGATAGGACAAGAGAAGAATGGAATTCCACATATTCCCAAAATTGCGGAAAAGAAAAACAACCGTTACTCAATCCCAGATATGCCTGGAGACGTGGAACAGATGTTTCCACGTGAAAAAGGAAACAAGAAAATCAAAGCAAACACTGTATCTGGTGGGAGAAACAGAATCAGGAAAATTTTAGACAAGACAAGGTTCAGCATCTTGCCTCCAAAACTGTTTAGGTATGTCACACTCTTCTGGTAAAACAGTAATTTTTTCCTATTAAACTGTTACATTGCTGCTCAGTATCTTTGATTGTTATGTGCATGTTGCTTGTTTTTTTTAAAAAAAAAAAAAAAAAAAATGCAGAAAATCCCACCGTAAGTGAAAAACAAGACCAAAATCTCTTTTCTCTACCAGTGAACACTTTCAAATCTGCTTTTCTCTGTCCGTGTTCTGAAACTCTGTCTACAATGCATAATGAAAACATCCGAGCACCATTGTATTTCCCAGTTTCACTCATCCTGAGGTGAATATAAGGTACTTGATGCGCATAATAGAAACAAAACTGTTTTGCAGTGACGGTAGCGTGAGCCAGTCGCAGGACGACAGCATCGTTGGGACGCGGCAGTGCAGGCACAGCCTGGCAATCATGCCCATTCCTGGGACGCTCTCGTCTAGCAGCCCTGACCTGCTGCAGCCTACAACGAGCATTCTGGATTTCTCTAATCCCTCAGGTAAAACAGCAGCATGAGCTTGGTTTATATGATGACTCTAATTACAAGGCAGCTGATTCAGGAGGATAATTGCGTCTCTTACCAGCTGCATGCTGAATGCAGTTATCTGCTTATGTTGTGGCCTTTACAGGTCCAAACTGGAGATTCACCAAGAGCGTAAACTGTCCAAACTCTTTTGCCTGCTATTTTGGCCTCCTTTTTTTTTTTTTTTTTTTTTGGTGACGTGAGACTTAGCTTCTTTTTACGAAGAGACATATCTTGCCACCTAAAGTATCTGTATTTACTGGAGTTTAACAGAGCTCCAGGGGAAGTGGGTTGGCCTTGCCTGCACCTTTCTCATTGTACCATCTCTTCCTGATGCTAGCACTCCTGGTGACTTGTCCATCCATTATCTTTGAATATATATTTCAAACAGTGTTGTGGGTAGCATAGGATGGCTATTGCTACCGAGGTGACAATGCCTACTGTATTACAAACATTAAATTTGTTCAGCTATATTTCTGAAAAAATGCAAACTACTTTGAAATTTATGGTCTGTGCTTCCATTGCTGCTATTGTAGGGACACCATTAATGGAGTGGCTGCAGGAGGGATTTATTTGTATATGCAGCTGCCTGTAAACACGTCAAGTCAGAATCATGTTTGCCTATTCTGAGTTCTGTGCATAATTATATATTCTGTAAACTGCCTTGTGGCTAAGACTTATCTTTATGTAAACTTGCATATTTCCCCCCTGAAAAGGGATGAGCACAAATATATCCTGTTTTATGCATAAATATTCACAGCAAATGAGTTCCCTTTTTGCTGCAAATCCATTTTCTTGTCTGCATGAGAGCGCTACATGTGTTTCTAAGGATCTTCACTGAGATTTCTGCAGGTTACTGCATAATTATGGGCTGTGGATAATTAGTTTTTCTTACCTCTACTTTCAGTTAAGTTCACTATAACAAATGTGCAGTCGTTTTTGGCAGAAAAAAACAAAATATCTTTTTGACAGTGTATTGCATACTCTTGATAAGTTTTGTAAACATTAAATCTTGATTTGGTGTTGACACAGTTTTGTTATTTTTTTCCCTTTTTTCCTGCCTGCAGCTGTTGGGTTTTACTGTAAGTATCTTGATGTATAGCCTCCTGAAGGCCTTAATATTGCATGACTTGCCTGTTAAACTTAACACATTTTCATGCATTGTATTGGTACAGTTATTACTGCTAGGGCATTAGAAAACAAGTGCCCTGTAAACTTCACTTTAATTAAGCGAATCTTTAGGCTTTCTTTATGGCTCTTGTAGTCTTATGGCAGAGTGCTGCGCTGAGGTTCAGAAGACCTATGTTTTATTCCCACGTCTGCCACTGACATACCGAATATCCTTCAGCAGGTTACTTTACTCGTCAGTGACCTTGCTGTAAAGGAATGAAGTTGCTTATCTCCTTTTTTAGAGAATCTAAAGTTTTAGAGGATAACATAGTTTAAGATTAGTTTGTTCTTCTGTTGGACTGTGCATAACTAAAATTTTGTGCATGCTGACTTGAAATGTCCACCTTTGTATTGTAGCCGCAGACTGAATCGTGAGTAGGGAAGTAATTTTTATTAACATTTATCTGCTTAAAAGACTGTAAAGGCAGGCATGTGCTTGTAATATAAGTTTCTATCATCTGTCACTTGTAAGTTACCCTAAGATTTGGTTGCAAAGTGATTTTTTTTTCCAGAATTGCATTTCAGTTTTGGCATTCGATCTTGTATGTGTTCTTATTTTTAGGTGTGTTAATATCATTATAGTATTAGAATCAGATCTCTTCAGTTAGGTCTTCTCACAGGTTGTAAGGTGTCATGATCGTGCCAGAGTTGCAGCCGTTCAGCTCATGTGTCGATTTATGATTTTTATCAGTACAGGCATTTCCCAAAGTATTCAATGCATCATTCTCACCGTTTCACTCTGAAATGAATACCTAATATATATTTCCTTCTTATTGTCCTCATCGGTGGCCTGGCCCCAGCGATGAGCATGACCCTGCTGGTAACGTGGCAGTCAGTGATGAAGCAGTTAGTAGAATTAGTTTTCAGTCAGAACTTTTTTGACTGCTATTTTCTTAACACTGTGTTTCCTCCCATCCTCCGTCTTATGTACACCTGCTGTCGGGGCTGCTTTTTATCCAGTGGAGTGGGATTTTTGGCGTTGGATCATAAATTACCTGCAGTCTTTTTGCCCAGAAGTTCCTGTTACTCGCTCCCATAACACCGTCAAGCCCTGATGCAAGGAAAAGTAACCCTGAGGGCACTGTCCCGGAGAAAGAGATCTTCATTTTTTCCCTAATGCAATGCGTTGTGACAAAAAAAAGTTAATGTATGGAAGGAGGAGTAAAATTCTTCATACAGAGGCAGGGGCTGTCTGATGGCCAGGGTTCGAGGAGAGCTGCCGTGGCCGGGCGCCCAGCACCAGACAGCGTTACAGCTCCTTGAGGTCTACCCAGACCTGCTCCGGCTTGGTCTGCAGGGCTTCGGGAGGGGGAAAAACAAACAAACAAACAAGCCCCTGTGCTCCCTTGAATTTTAATTAGCAGGGCATTTTTGGCCTTGTTTTTTTCCAGTCTACTTTACTTTGGAAATTGAGCATTATATAATAGCAGAGTGAATTATCTGCTAGCATCACGCTGTAAACTAAACTTGTTTGATTCGTGGGAATTGATTACCTGATCTAATTTGCCTCAGCTAAAGCTATGTTCTGATTTCAAACATATTTTCAATGCATAAAATGTGTTTTAAGTGAGGTCGCTAGCAAAAGAATTAAGTGCTGGCAGCAGCTCAGTTCCTTCAGGTTAAGGCGAGTGTCGGCGTTTGCAGCCAGGAGCAGATGCGGCTGCTTGCCGCTGCCCGCGCCGCAGCGGCCAGGTCTGCGTGCACGCTCGCTCGCCTCCCGTCCCGTCCCATCCCGTCCCCTCCCTGGAAAAAGCGACCCGTTACCCATGCTGATTGTGGATCTCCCAAACAGCCAAAAGGGAATCGTGCCTCCAAAAATTCTGAGAAGGGACCATGTACCAAATAGCCATATGATGGCATCATAGTCATATGACGGTAATATGGATGTCTTGTGCTTTGATTATGGTCATGATGTAACTTGCAGATTGACTCCGTGGTGGAAATGCAGAGAAGAAAAGAATCCTCTTTTTTTTTTTTTCTTTCACAGCTGAGGGAAAAGACTGGATATTTTAGTGAATATTTATGAGTGTTTATCGAGTCCAGTGTGTTTTTTTTCTTGCTTGCTGTCTTTCTGGCTATCAAGTAATGCAGTCAATGACCTTTTGTCTTTTCAAGGGAAAAGTAACTTTCTATTTTAAAGATGCTCTTCTGTTGTTTTAGATATTCCGGATCAAGTAATACGAGTTTTCAAAGCAGATCAACAGAGTTGTTACATTATTATCAGCAAAGACACTACAGCCAAAGAAGTTGTGAGTCACGCTGTACATGAATTCAACCTGACGGGAGCCCCGGAGACCTACTCGCTCTGTGAAGTGTCTGTCAGTCCTGAGGGGGTCATAAAGCAAAGGAGGCTTCCGGATCAGTTCTCAAAACTAGCGGACAGGATTCAACTCAATGGACGGTAAATGCACCCTTATTTTAATTTCAGTTTGCATTTTTTTTGACTTTGCCTTTTAGGATTGAAACATTCGAAAGAAGCACTGGGGAGCAATTCCTTTTACATTAAAATAGGAGCAAAATGCCTGGATTTACCTTTGCATTACAGAGGACGGCTAAAGACCTAGTTTACTTACCCAGCTACCCAGACACAACAGAATTACTGATTGAGGTTGTGTGCAAATGAGTAGCTTCAAATTTTTCAAAGCTGTAGTTATAGAAGGTTATGTTTTCTGTGTTCGTTGGAAGCATCTCCTGTGACAGCTCTTATGAGCAAAAAAAGAGCAATATGTCCAATTAGTATGTAAATATTCGGTTCTCTCGGGGTGCAGGAGAGAGGATTTCTGCCAGAGGGGACCAGCAAGGCATTTCTTGCTCGCTGCATGCCTGATCTCCAAGCTTTGCATCTATAAAAATCTGTAATCACACTGAATTTCAGTGACATCTATCAATGCTGGACAAAAGGTCTCTTTCTGCTCCTAAGTCTGGAGGACAGGGGTAACACTCCTCTCCTAAATGCCAGTAGCTCTGAAAACATCTCTGTGTTGGGTCAAGAGCTAGCAAGGGAGTCTTTCCAGAACGCAGCAATTCTTACAGCGCGTTTGTGGAAGGTTCATAGCTAACCGCTTTCCTCTTTGGATGCGCAAATGGGAGCCTCCTTAAAGATGTGTTTACTAACAATTACAGGGTTACTCGTTGCTCCGGAGTGACGGTGCTACGACAGCTGTGTTAGAAGAATAGGCAAATAAATGTCAGTAACTTATTTCTCCCTTTCCTTCTCTTTTCTTTCCTCTGTTTCACCTTCCCCTTCCACGCTTGAAGAAAAAAGCTCCCCGAACCTACCCCAAGCTCACTTGATGACAAGTAAATTTAGCTGATCAGGATAACATATATAGTAGCTCACCCTTGAGAAGAAAACAAATATATATTTTTTTTTTCCTGACAGTTTCCATATGTACTTTGTGATTAAAGGGTACAAGTAATTTCTTTCTCTATGATATGATATTGCAATGAACTGATACTAACCTGAGATAAATTCTTCTATTCTTATGTGAACTGTTACGAATGTTTTCAGAAAAGTTAAGTGCTTCCATTTTATCTGATGACCTGATCCATACTGGAAGAAGGTTTATTAAGTAAAAAAAATTCTTTAGTCCTCTTTGCTAGGCAACAAAGAGAATTTATGAGGGAGAGACTTTGCTGTCTTTAAGTGATCTGCTTTAGACCATGAAAATGAATTTTCCAGATACCTTTTCATTTCCTGAATACTGTGTACTTCGTGTATATATTAATATGCCATGCTAAATTTATGTAAGAAATGGAGAAATACATTTACGACAGATTTCAAATATTTCTCAGAACTAATGTGTATTTCAAATGTTATTTCACTGATGAGTTTACGAATGGGAAAGTAACTGACCTTTTTCTAAAGGTGAAAGCTACTGCATGTTAGAGTACTATATAGAAAATAATATTAGCAGAGAAGTAGAAAAGATCGAAATGGGATTGGGAAATGCTGGTGAACTAGTATTTACTTGGGTAACAGAGGCATTTTATAATTGCTGAAGTACAAGGTTATGCTGCCTGTTCTTACCTCTGTCATTGCCTCTCGCTCCGGGTTGTCACCAGCCCCCCAGAAGTACTCTCTCGTGCACGCACCTCTGTGGTGTCGATAGCAACTAAGTTGACTGATGTAGTTCAACATCTCTGTGCTCGCAGGCCCGCAGAAGAGTGTCACTAATGTTTTCTTATAATTCAAATGTTCTGCAGGTATTACCTGAAAAACAATATGGAGACGGAGACGCTATGCTCAGATGAGGATGCTCAAGAGTTGCTGAGAGAAAGCCAAATTTCCCTTCTACAGCTTAGCACCATTGAGGTTGCCACGCAGCTTTCCATGAGAGACTTTGAATTATTTCGTAATATTGAGCCTACAGAATACATTGATGACCTTTATAAGCTGGACTCCAAAACAGGAAACGCTCGCCTAAAACAGTTTGAGGATGTCATAAATCAAGAGACGTTCTGGGTTGCCATGGAAATTTTAGCAGAGCCCAACCAGCTCAAAAGAATGAAGATTATTAAGCATTTCATTAAAATTGCCCTCCACTGCCGAGAATGCAAGAACTTCAATTCCATGTTTGCGGTTATAAGGTAAACTACTTTCCGTTTGTCAGATCTGATTTATGGCGTCAAAAGCAATTCTGTTCATCTGAAGTGAAAGAAAAGAAAAAGGTGCTTTCCAAACGAATTACTGATGGCACTGGATAGTTTTAAGGGAATTACCAGGCTTTTCAACATACCAGACTGTACAGAAAGATATATTTTCATTGCGATCTTTTCCTCCCTCAACTTCCAAGAAGTTCAGCGTTATTACAGTGGTTCGTGTTACTGCCCCATCCTTAAAAAGAGGTGACTTGCACAAAAGCGCTTGTTTGATTGATGAACTTTAGAAACTTGCTTGAACGTTGCTGCCATTTTCTATGATTCTGGTATCAAACTTCCCTCCCTTTTTCAGTCATTGCTACTCTGTCAGTGTGCACTGAGTCATATCTGAAATGATATTACTTCATTTCTTCCTGTCATTGTATGGACTTCCCAGAATCAGTCTTGTTTTAGTTCAGTTTTCCTTTTTCTTCTTGCTGGTCATCTGCCTGCTTCTGGGTGGTTTTTCTGGGTGGTTTTTTTTTTTTCCCCTTTGTTTGCACATTTAGACTCTTTCAATTTATATTAGGTATTGCTTCTTTGACTTTAGCAGGCTGAGTTTAGTTTTCCTTTATTCGTAGTTATATAATATCCAGCTTTTAATAATACCAAAAGAAAAAGCTCCGTGATACATCAGAGAAATATCTGGATTCATGCTGTACCCCAACACCAGTAATGTCTCTGAAAATACCATTTTTAAATAACTTCTAGTGTGTCTAGCTGATTTATCAAATGATTTTTGCTTTTGTTTAACCATACGTTAAAGAATTCACAGCAGAGGCCCTCAGTGCTACTCTATGTACACTATTAAGTTCACCTTTTAAAACAAAATCTTTGAGATTGCTTTAGTACTAGATACCTTTCTCAGGCTTGTTGCCCTTGTCTTTTATACTTTATAAAACTTAATCTAATACCGAACCATTCGGCTCCTTTCTGGAATGTGGAGGATTCAGGGAGGTTCCTGTCCGGAAGGGAAAATGTGCAAGTCAAGCTGAAGATAACTTTCCTAGGTACCGCTTATCAAGATATATTTCCACCAAGAGTAAAATCATTCAACTTAAAATTCAGTTGAATATCTCCTGGAAAGAATTTCCCATAGAAGAAAGGATGTTGTGAGTGAGGAGAAAAAGATGAAGAACACCCTTTTCTTTTTTTTTTTTTTTCCATAACAATTGCTGTGTTTTTCTGCTCTTTACATGAAATAACTCATTTGTCTTCACAGAGATGCTCAGTCAAAATCAGATTTTCTTAGCTGATTACATTTGCCTTTCTTAGTTATGTAAAATCAAGCTGAAAGTGCTTTTAGTTATGAAACCATTAAGATTTTGGAGAATTAGGTTTGACCTCATGGTTTGTTAATGAACGCTGGAGAACAGAACGCTTGTTGCAAGAACTTTGATCCTTGCGAACCTCACTGAGCTAACTTGGTCCAAAGTTATGTTAGGGAGGCTGAATGTATTTAATTAAATCTCTAAATTGCATCCAGCTAAATCTAGATATATTTTTGCAGTGACTTAATGAGAATGATGGCACAATAACAAGTTCTGGCATATCTGTTGCTTTTAGTTTTCAGTGTACTGGTACTTTTTTACAAATGCTCCAAACATGTTCTTAAGTCTTTCTGCTATTGTTTGTGATAAGCGCTCTGTACTATTCTCACTTGCTACTATAACTCTATAATCAGCTTATGAGTTTTTCACTCTTTTGTCTTTACCATGATACAGATTTTTACAGGACTGAAATGGGACTTAGGTTAGATGGGCATCAGTATTATGTTGCAGGTAGATTGTGTTGGCAGGCTCACTTAAAATTTGTACGTTGTGAATGGGAAACAGTCGTGCTCTTTAAGTTTCTCGTTTTTGTCCGCTCGTGAGAGTGAAGAGCAGTGGTTTATTGTGATGAGCTTCCTTGTGGCCTGGCATCCACCCAGCTTTAGAGTTAACCTTGTGAAAACTATTTTTTGTTCTTAAAACAGAAAACAGCACTTTACTTCTTAATCGAAGGGATCCCTTTGACAGCTAATAATGAAATATATCTGTTTTGCAGTGGGTTAAATCTAGCACCAGTAGCACGTCTCAGAGGTACTTGGGAAAAGTTACCAAGCAAGTACGAAAAACACCTCAGAGACCTTCAAGATCTTTTTGATCCATCTAGAAACATGGCGAAATACCGCAACATCCTTAGCAGTCAGAGCATCCGCTCTTTCCTGTTGTCAAGAAGGATATTACATTTCTACACGAAGGTAATGTCAAACACAGAGAAATAGCACACTAAGCAGTGAGTATATGTAAGCTCTTGCTTTAGCACTCCATGATCCAGCAAATGACTAAAAGTAAACTGCCACCAGTAGTATGATGCTTTGATATGTCCTTTGTAGGACTAAAGTGAAATATAATTCTGAATGCGTAATAGAAGAGACTGATCCTAGAAAAAAATAAAGTGCATATTTTTAACAGTGTACAAGCAGCATTTAATCTTCATCAGCTGTCCTAAGATTAGGATGGTAGAGTTGATGAGCGCACTAACTAGAATTCGGACTACTTCAACTGTATTTCTATAACAAAAACTTGTTGCTGTGGTGTTTCTAGGCTTAGTTCTATGTTGTGGCTTTCAGAGAGCTACAATGATGTAACACCTCCTACTCTCGCTTTCAGCATTTTCATTTTTTAGAAAAATATTTCCTTTTTTTTTGTTTTACATAAAATTCTGTTTACAATTGGTTAAGATTATGGATTTCCAAATATGCCAAATTCTTGGTTATGATGTTTCAGAACTATTTGAACTGATTTCAGAATACAGCTATTGTTGATGTCGGTTCTATATTTATCTTATTTTAACATCTATGGCAATGAATTTAGGCATAGTTCACTTATTTCTTTTTCTTCCTACAAATACTTGCTACTTTAGAATTAGATTAACAAGGGCAAAGCTAGATACTTTGAGTGGGCCTGATTGGCGTTTTGTATTTTGCCATCATACCTTTTCCTGTTTTCCTGCTATTTTGATTAAAACAATCTGGGATGTGTGTGAGGGGGGGGGGACTCGTGTGCAAATCAAGTTGCATGTTCCCCGTTTTAAAGAAAAATAATAGTTCTTATTTCTTTTTGGCGCATGCTTATATTATACAGGAAATGATTCAAAAGTGGATGGCCTGGTCAATTTTGAGAAACTCAGAATGATTGCCAAAGAAATCCGCCAAGTCGTCAGGATGACCTCGGCGAACATGGATCCAGCTGTGATGTTCAGACAAAGGTGCGCAATTTAAAAAGACAGTAGGTTGGAGCTGCCTAACAGTGGGTAGGGATCTGGGTTTGTGTGTGCGTAAATACGTTGTTATTTCATCGTGTGACTTCCCATTAACATTTACCATCAGAACTGAAGTCTTTATCAAGTTATGGAAATACCATCAGTGCTTCTAAGAGTTGCTTTTAATGACTACTAAACCAATTTGTTGGTTTAAAAAGCAAGGAAAATAGGCTCTAAATTTAATGCTTCCTATTTTTGCTAAATAAAATGTTAGAGTTTCAGGACAGATGTAAGTGCTGGAGAAAAATCATATATAAAAAAAACCTAAATCACCTATGTGTAAATCTGAAATACTTTTAAAGCAACCTCTGGTAACATTAAAAAAAAAAAAAAGTCACAAAAAATATATCTATTTTTATCCATTCAAGCACAACTCACTCCACCTACATACTGTGTGGTATGTTCAGCCTGGAGGGCTGTGGCTGTGGCTGTTTTCCTCCCCGGTGTATGCTGCTACCATCAGGCTCTGGGTTAGCAGACTGCCGAATAAAAGCTGTTGCTGCTAATCTGGTGCTCCAGTTTATGTTTAATGGAACTGAATAATTTCCCACGTGTTTACTTTCACAATGGCTGAAATAAGAGCATCAACTGCTCCGTCGTATCCGTAAAGGGTCCCGATGCCTCCAGATCCCTGGCGACAGGCGTTGTGTTAGCCTTCCTCTCCCTGCCCTGTTAGTTTGCCAGGACAAACTAGACAAAACCCCCTCAGCAGCCTCAACGCGCAATTTAAACGCGGGGCTGGCGGCAAGAGGATCGAGACAACGTCCTGCACTGAATCACTGCAAAATCTCTACTTTGAAAAGGGACAGAATAATTTTTTGAGCTGTTGGTTGCGTGCGCATCCAAAGGCAAGTCTGCGCGGCCGGGAGCGGGGCGCGAAGGCTGGGCTGGAAGCAGAGCCCCGGTGAAGCTCCTGCGCAGCTGGGTCTCGTCCTCAGCTTCTGCGTTGGACTGCTTGCGCGCAGGGGAAGGAGAGGGCGCACGTGGGGTAGGAGAGCCCAGGGGTGTTCAGCTCCTCCACAGTCTTCTAGCAGGCAGAATTCGAGACTGCGAAGAATCCAGTTTGGTTTTGTTTTTTTTTTTGTTCGGTTGATTTTTTTTCCAAATCTGACAACAAGCAAACCAAAGGTTTTTGGTTTAAAATGGGTCAGACTGAAATTTGAAACAGAAATAATCAGTCCCTTAAACGTTGTTTAAAAATGGACACTTTTCACAGTGGAGATTAGCCTTCATAGTGTTGTGTTTGACCTAGCAAAAGTCCCTATTTAATATGAAAGTATAAAGCTAATTGTTTGATAAGTTCTGATTGCTTTTTCAGAAATTGTGGCATTTACAGATGAAATTTCTCTATAAATACATTTCCCTGATACCCTGTGCGTTTTAAGACCTAATCAGCTTTAATCACTAAATGAATTTAATACTAAATAAATAGGTTACCTTTAATATGTTTTTCAGAATTGGAGAACACATTTTAACAACCACATCAGTTTAAAGTGTACGTGCCGACATAAAATACTCAGTCATCTAATATTAGAGATAGTGCCAAAGATTAAAAGACAATAATTCCATGTTTTCACATCGTTTATATTCATTTGCATCGCCTCTGGTGTTTGATCTATCAGTTTGTGTGCTACGAACTACCAATAGAATATTTTTCTGAAGATTAAAAATGAACAAGAAAAGACGTTTTAGTGGTAACGTGAGACTTGCTAACAAGTTCATTACCAATTAATATAGGCCATCTAGTTTTTCAGTGTATTTTTAGCAAACAGCTTGTATTCCAGCAAGCAATCAAGAGGAAACATCATCATAAACTGGAATACTGTATGAGAAATCATTATGTGTTGTGATCCTAGTGCATAGAATAAATTAATTTAATTACTTTTTAAAAAAATATGAGTAAGTTAAAAAGCTTTCACTCATACCATCAAAGTTAAATTTCACTTATGGGAAATAATTAACAAGAAAATTAAAAATGTGTTTGGTTTTTAGATTTGTAGGTTGAACTGAAAAATGAAATAAACCTAAAAACTGATAGATGTTCTTCCATATTGAAGTCTTGTGGCAAGTCCTGCCCTTGCATTCCATTAAAGCATTGTGTTATTGTTTGAGAAGAATTTTGCTGTATAGAAAACTTTTCTTTTCTGTTCTTTCCTGTCTACATCTTTCTTCCTGACTCTCAACTGTTTTATTTTTTTTCCTGTGCTTTTCTGTTCAAATACATGCTTCAATGTATATGGCTCTTGCTTACAGGAAGAAGAGGTGGAGAAGTTTGGGGTAAGTGTAGAGATGAATGCAACTAAGATAAATAAAGGTTATGCAACTCTTAACATACTGCATCCTCCTTGTTAGTGCATGCATCTGAAATACAGCATGCATTTTATTAACCCTGCAATACCTATTTTTTGGAAAACAAGAGTAAGGGGTTTACGGTCAGCTTCATACTGCAGCAATAAAGATTTTGAGTTGCTTTTGTGTGTTAGATAAGCTGTTTCTGTTTTGGCTTAATAAAAGAAACTGATGTCCAGTTAGACTGGAAGGCAAACTATTTTTGCAAACAAGTAACTTGCTGTTTAACACGTATCTACAAATTTTAAGCCAGTATGCATACACGAAAGTCCTCGTTGCTTTCCCTTGGCGTTTTGATTGTGCAAGGACTGAAGAGCAGAATGACTGCAAATGAGGAGCAGTAAGATTGGCTAATGAAATTGCTAACGATACTTTCAAATGACAGTGATTAAGGTGACAGCATAGCCATACTTTATGCGTTCTTATGTGTGTGTTTTTTGCTGAAATGCTCTGTCCGTGTGCCTTCGCACTTTCAAGCTCTGCTTGTTTGGATACTGCGGGCATCTGGTCGAAAGCCAGCTCCGCTCTAGCGTGTCCACAGTGTAGATGCGATGGAGGCAGGAACACTTGTGGTGCTTCGATGCAACTCCCTTGCAAGCTGCAGAGCAAGTCTAGCGTGGCCGAGTGGTTCACCCTCAAAGACTCTCCAGGCAACTCAGCCCAAAGAACGGTTTTATCCTCCAACAGTGAAGACAAAAACGTAGCGAGACAGACGTTAGTATTTGTGTGAAACAACCTGGAGTGAAGACGTGTGGATGCCGGTCCCTGAAGTGAATTCTGCAATATATACGTGCCCCCTTGTTGGCTGAGAGCTTGATTAGCAGCATTATGGGGTCATTAATCAGCCACGTGTACTGTAGCTTCCCTAGAGGCGTACGCAGGACCCCTCTAGAACCACCTTCTCTAGTGCTAGCGCTTCCTTCCTTCCTTCTAAGCATGGTAGAAGGCAGTGCTGTAGCTACTAATTTCAAACCTTTGGGATTACTGGGAGCACAGTTGAATGAGGAAAAAACTGTTTTTAAAGATAATTGACTTAAATTGACTTAAGTCTAGACTTAAAAAGAAATGGGATGTACATAAGTAAAAATTTTACATCACTAAAAATATTATATGTATGTTATCCTGTTTGATTACATAATACGTATTAACTTTGTTCTTGTCCATAGTAGATATGAGTGCCCCCTTGTTTGAGTGGGTGTGAACAGTCCATCATGCCATGTGCTACTCTTTGCCTATAATAGTGTTAGTTTCTTTATGTAAGCTATACAATTCTGCTACACTTTCTAAGCGTATATTTTTCTCTGAGTTTGTTTTAGTTTATTAAACTTCTTTGTCAATATGGCAGGCAGCTGTTTTCCACTCCTTAGTTTTTAAGCTCGATGTGCTCAGTCCCAAAACTTCCTCAAACAAGTTTAGTTCTGACTCTTAGCGATTACGGTTTCTCTGTTGGGTGTGGTTTATGTGGCACTTGTGATTCTGTAAGCACACCCAAGATCTTGATAAATATCTTTATGCAGAATTTAGACTTAAAATGTGTTATTTTGAATGTTTACAAAAAACTTGAAACAATTTCACTGGAATTTTCCATCAGAATTTATTTGAACTATATACCATGACCTTCCTTTATCAAAAAAACAAAACAAAACAAAAAAAAACTGATTAGGACCAGTGCATCTGTAGTGCTTTGGCAGTCAAAACAGAGGTGATGAGTATATTTGAACTATATCAACATCAGTTGTTTGGTCACTAATTGAGCACTAAAACGAGGGAGAATAAGAATGACCAGCATGCGTAGTAATTAGTATAAGATAAACAATTTGGTGATTTATCTATTTTTGCTTCAGTTGCCGATAGAATTGGCAACTTAAAATAGGAGCATTCAGAAGTGTTGGCCGTGTTCTTTCATAGGTTTAAGTCTGTACAAGTCTGAGCATATGTGTGTTATCACTGCCTCCCTGACCCGTGTTTGGGATACTTCATGAGTAATTGCTCCTTTGTAGATGTTTTTACTTAATTGGAGAAAGGATTTAAGTGCATCATAAAATGTACTTTGCATATTTAACATAGGTTTTTCTCTTATTTAAGCACTGTCAGAAGCTCAGCCTCCTAAGAGGATTACACTAGTCACTCACTTCTGTGGTCAGTTGAATTGCAAGAAGTTTCTGTTGTAAGCCTGAAACATACAGTGGGTGGCAAATTACTTAATCGACTGACCCAAAGTTAGCAGGTTTGCTATTGCAGTCTGCAGTTGAAATAGTATAGGTTTTGTAGAACAAGACTAACATCCATTAGCAGAGCTAGATTGGGGGGGGTGGAATTTATGTAGCATTGCGCCTCATTCTTGCTAGTTCCACACTTTCATGAGCAATTCTTTCCTAGACTCAAAATGCTGCTATCAATTTTACCAGAATATTTTAAGACAAGTATTGTTTTAATGCTGTTCATCTTAACTCATTTGCATCAGCATGTACTAGCCCTAACTGAAGAGTTTTGGTATTAATCTGCTTCAGCATATGCTACTTTTGCTCCTCTTTGCTGATGAGAACCAAAAATTTACTTATTTGTTCTTTTCTTTTATAGGTCTCTGAGCCAGGGCAGTACAAACTCAAACATGCTCGACGTACAGGGAGGCGCTCACAAGAAACGTGCCCGACGCAGCTCACTCCTGAATGCCAAGAAGCTGTATGAGGATGCCCAGATGGCAAGGAAGGTGAAACAGTACTTGTCCAACCTCAATGTAGAAACAGATGAAGAAAAGATCCAAATACTGTCACTTCAGTGTGAGCCTGCATATAGCACTTGTGAGTACAGTGATCTGTTAGGGTGGCATAATCTCCACAATTTTAAAAAAGTCTTATTCCTTCCTTTGAAACATCCATTTAAGGTCTTTCTCGTCTCCAACAAAAATTACTGTAGTAAGCATCTTGTTTGTCAATGCTTTTACTAACAGAGTAACTAATACAGTTTCAGCAAGCCAGCATTTATCTTCTCGTCTTGGCTGAGCTCACAAAACTTTGGAGTGAGGTTTTTTTTTTTTTATTTTGACCTTTAGTTCTTAAACTGTGTGGCTTTTCATCAGTCTGGAAGGAAATTCAATAGGACATTAGATCTATTCTTGCCCTGCTGTCCTTGTACGGAATTAGGAAGGATAAAAGTAACGTTTACCATATGAACAGCAAGAAAATGAAAAGAGACAAAATCAATACAGAAACTGCGATGGATTACAACTTAGAATAAAAGAAGATTGTTGAGAAGGAGAAGTCAGGCCAGTACTGACGGATAGGATTGACATGCCTTGATGGTCAAAAATTGAGGGCTGCAAACAGGACAGTTTTTCATAAATTAAGCTCCTGTGAAACTGCCTAACTAAACACACTATTTTATGATCTATGTCTTCTGTCTTACACAGTTCAGTACACTCTCGCTTAAAAATAAAAACTGGTAATTGCATGTGATTTTGATAATGATAAATTTTCAAGCACTTGAAAAGTAATTAAGACTGTTTCAAAACAGAAAAGTAATAATCTTGCTAAGCAAAATACATTTCGTGCTTATCTGTTGTCCAAACGCAGCATACTACATTTTTCTGTTGCTGTTCTCAAAGACCATTTTCTCCATTAAGGAGAAGAATTAAAAGTACAAGTAGGAGGTGACACCTTGAAGATACGATCTTAAGTCCGTTATTTCCATTATTCAGTATTAAGACTGTGAATTCCTAGTATTTCCTAAGGTGACCTCTCATGCAATTTTTTTTTTAACTTTCTTTTTAAATATTAGTGATATAGGACTCCTGGAAATGGCCATACTTGACTCTCTTTTAAAAAATGTTGAAATCTGTGCGTTCACACTGACTGTGCATCTGGGGTTATGAGAAATCTGAGGTAGCTCTGAACAGAACAGTGCAGAGCGTACGCTACTACGCATGTGCGCTTGTGCTGTGTTCAGCCAGACACGTAATAGCAGAGAAGGCTTCCACTTAGAGGCAGTACCATTGTGTTTCATTTTTGTTCAATTTTTTTTCCTGTAGGAACAATAAATTAAAACGTGTAAAGATGACTGCTTGGTAGATGATTTATGTGCAAACATGACAGATGGTCGTGCTATGCCCAGGAGAGAAACATAAATGTTATGAGGCAGTTTTTCAATTCTTTTAAATAAATCATATGTCCATATTATAAATACTGCTTGTACAGTGCTAGCCATAGCTACTCAATTGTAAAAAAAACAAAAAAATTGGGAATATATATTATTTTTCTCCATGTATTTTTAGCAAATCACATCTTTTTTTTAACATTAAAAAAGGAGACTGATGGTTAAATGGATATGCAAATAAATACAGTAGAATGATATAAAATTAAAATATTTATTTTTAAAGACTATATATTAAAAAAAAAAAGCGGATCATGTAATTGATCCGCTTAAGAGTGCACTCTGTTTGCGGAGCTAGCAGAAACGATGGAGGACCGATAGAGCAAGGGAAGACCCAGCCTCTTTGCAGCCTCTGCTCTGGTGGAGGTAGAGCATAGAACCGCTCCCAGGGCAGAGACGGGTTCCTTCGCGCTCGGTGAGTTTATCTGCAGTCGGATGTTTAAATTTTGACCAAGTACCTTTGAGTCAGGAAGCTTGTTATGTGGCCTTGTAGACTTATGTCGGTAATTTTTTTGCTCATATTCAGAAAAGTAGGAGGTACAGCTTCCTAATCTTTTTCTCAGTACCAAGATTCCGCTAGCTTTGCTTGCGGAAAGAGCAAGCTGCAGGTATTCTGCCATCCGGGTATTTCCACGGAAATTTAGGGAGAAGTCAGATGGCCTTAACTCCACAAACACTTTAACTGATCTGTAATTAAAGTAGAAATTCAGTCAGTGTCCTGTGTTGCAAGTCAGTTGTGCCATCTAGTGAAAGATTTGCCAGTTGCAAAACGAGCATTTCTTTTTCCCTTAGGTGGCATTACATATTTTTGAAAGAGATGCTGTTATGCCTTTGCACCATATGTACAAACATCTGAAATATGGAATTTAATTGTGGTGGAAATACATCACATGATTTCTGTCTTTGGTAAAGTACTTCTATGACACTTTAAAGCACTTAGGTGTGGGGATTTTATGGCACTTCATGTAACTACCTCTTCAGTGGAACAAGATAGGAACGCTTGGAACAGAAGAACATTTTGAATGTTTTATCTGCTTAATACCATGGTTGATTTTGTCTGGATGGTTGTGCTTAGAATGATTGTAATAATCCTGCAGTTCATAGTACAAGATATTTATATCCATTTTTTCCATAACAGTGACAAAGAATTTAAGTGAGAGAAGAGGGGCGAAATCCTCAGAAATGTCTCCAGTACCTATGAGATCAATTGGCCAAACCACTAAAGCCCATCAGCATCAACAAAACAGAATGAGTCAAGTACTTCAGGTTCCATCGGTGAATTTATACCCTAGCAGGAAAAAGGGGCTGACGAAGGATCATGTCACGTTTAGTGAGTATCTGCAGTTCAGCTATGGAGAGCTCGATAAATCAGAGCGGGGAGCTGGCTTGTAGCTGGATGGGCTATTGGAGGTATTGTTATACAGCATCAGTTAGCTTCACAGTTCAAGGTTTCATTTACGTTCTCACTTAAAAATTGCTGAATCGCATTACTGTGTGTTTCAAGAGAGCGTGTAATTTACTCTGCTGTTTGCACAACTAAGTATTTAATACAAAGCGTGTAATTTACTCTGTTTGCACAACTAAGTATTTAATACATTTGCTTAAAACAGCTAATTGTAAGGTGCGGTCTGTAAATACGCTCTCTTGCTTTAGTTTCATAGGCCATTAGTTGTAACTTGTCACTTTCTGTGGCAGTGATTGTTTTCAGGTATGTACTTGAAGAGCGTACAGACATCTTTTTTTTTTCCTGAATGAGTCTCGTTAAAGTGATCCTGTTGGCTACCTTTTGAACAGGTCAGATGCGCAGTGTTAAGCCTTTGCTGTATATTTCTGCCTTCTAAATGGATCTTGCACAAACTGAGCAGAGTAACATTGCTTATTTATTTTCATGACAAAATGAAGTACAATATATTACAGTGAAATCTTTGAAATTAAGTCACAGTCATTTAGTGCTTTAAGCTTTGTAACAACATTATAACAACATTATTGTCAAATGGAGCAACATATGTGTCAATGTTATTAGTTGCTCCCAGTGAACATCAATTTTTTCAGTTTCTAAATTTACCAGTTGCGAAGCAGTATGTAGTATTAAAATACTTCTAACCTATTTGCGTAACTGCTGTATTGTTTGAAAGCTACAAGAGTTTTAAACGTTAAAAGATTAGTTGCAGTTAATAAATTATGTGAAGTGATTCTATGATACGCTGAGCATCAATATCCACTAAAATAGTTTCAGAAAGCACCATATTGCAGCATATACGTTATCATAATGTTTGCAGTTGAAAAAGTCTTACGATTTAGTTCAAGTCTCCTCTCAAAAGTTGCTACAACTTGATATGTTCTAGAAATTTTATTTGTGATGCTACTGCTGAGAGGCATTTGTTCATTCCTGTGTGTTAAGCCATTTGGTTTAACCAACCTATGAGGAACTCGAATGAATTCTTTACCAAGCGTACACAACAGTGAACAAGAAATGCCAAATTAACAGTTGCACTAAATACAGGGGTATATTGGTTTTGCTAAATTTGCTAAGTGCTATATAGTGCCCTTAAGTACTGGTCTGACCACTCCTGACTTGGAATGTATCCTTTTGAACTGAGTTTTATTTGCTATGATGTAACCAATTTTTAACACTGCCTCAACAGTGTCATGGGTGAGGATTTCAAGCTTCATACGTCACACAGTTTTTAGTCCTTTGCCAAAACACTGACTAGTGTTTCTGTTGTAATGGTTTCAGTTATAACCTGGATGTTTCGACACATTTCAGATATCACCGAGCAACCAACAGTAGTAGTTCAGCGGCCACTGCAGATCTGGTCTAAATTTGAGATGGAGACTGCCTCTACGTGCAGTATTCATCTAATAAGCATCTACTCCTCTTTTTGCAGAATGCTCCAACGATTGTTCGATATGATGCTAATTTGTAATGTAAATGGATACCGCTAGCTGGGAAGAATAGTGCATAGTAAATGATTCTACTGTTTTCATAGGTACAGGCTCCCCACAGAAGTCGTTAAGTTTGTCTGAGGAAGTAAGTACTAAGAAACAAACAGATGACACTGTGTCTATGGCATCTTCTTTGCACTCCAGCCCGCCTGCTTCTCCTCAGGGCTCTCCCCGCAAAGGTACGTGTGCTGCAGTGAAAGGTTACAAACCCCTAGGTAAGCATCCATCTGAGGGACTCCTTTCTGTGCTGTGTCAAAAACAGGGTGGACAGCGGCAGAAATATTTTTTGATAATTAAAGTATTATTTCGCAGAGTACATTTAGAGCCTTCATGTCAAGAATAGCATCATGGCTTTCTGTGACTTCTCATAGACACTGTTTTCCAATGTTTTCTACATTTTTCAGCCTTAAAAGTTACCTATACAGTAAAAAGTAGAATAATTGTGTTCTTAAAAATTGTTTAAGTTCTTCTGGCAGAATACCTGCTAGGTCTTAAGGGCTTTGATGCCTGCCAGCGTATCAGTTCAGATTTACGTGGCCACTTCCATGAGTGGAAATCACAAATCTGGAGATTTCCTGAAGACAGCAGCGTGGCACAGAAACGGCAGCTGTTGAAACAACTTACCTTTTTGCCAAAGGTGGTTGGAATATCAGCTGATTAGTTGGAGTCTATTTTGATTCACTTAGATGTTAGCTGTAGATGCAAGTCTGTTTGTGAATCTTGTCACTATTACCTCTTTCCCACTGAACATCAGTCCAGCTGATGTGAGTGAAGTGAGCTTCACTCACTTGGTTTTGCAAATGTTTAGCATACACAGGTCAAAGCAAATCAGAAGTCTGTGATTAAATTCATCATTCTGGAAATCTGCTACTTCCATTCCTAATCCTATTATAGTTTTATGTTACATTTTTGTTTTTAATGCTTTAATTTATTTTATTATTGCTATGGGCCTAACACGGCACTTTGAATAACCCCTTTCCCTCACTTACCAAAAATAATTTTAATCAAACTATGGGTTTTTGATGCCTACATGCAAATTTGCTGTAATTGGAGCTGAAGAGAAAATACTGTCATAGTTCTACAGAACAGTTTTGATAGGTACAGAAGTAATGCATCCTTCCAAATCCTGGAGTCACCATTCATATTTTTTGTTCCTGTGTACAGGGCTTTGTATATATCCCTGTCTGTCATGATGCCCTGAGAATCCCTTTATTTTTGATACCTTCATCTCGAAAGACCTGCATCATTTCATCATTAGTCAAGCTTGGATGGGAGTTCATTTGAAATCTCTTAACACCACTGTATAGTCAGCCAGTGTGGTCAGTGTGGAACAGTGTAAGGCATTTCTTGCTCCTCCTGTGCTGCTTTCCGGCTCACAACCCAAAGCCACTGGATGGCATGGCATGGCATGGCAACTTAACTGCATCTTCTCACCTTTTTCAGTGGGAGATCAGGCTTGTCAGGTTTCATGTGAATCCACTTCTGCCATCACAAGATGCTGTTTCCTTTAGGAGAATGTCACTTATTTTACTTAGACACAGTATATGTATAAAAACATTTGATTACTCGGATTGCCAAAACTAGTTCCACTGAGATTTTTGAGAACCACTGCTTTTTTTTTTTTTCTTTAAAAACAAGTTATTTTTGATGACTTTCATCTGGTTCTATGAAAATAATATTTTGTTTCTTTGTGGTTTATTTCATTAATTCAACTTGCTTTTAGCATATTTTAGCACTGATCCAATTTCATTAAGGTAATCGGTATCCTGGTGTATGTGTAGTGCTAACAACTCATTGAACTAAAATTAGGTGCTTCACAGACAGCCGAAATGCATAATTTTGGGCATGAATACATTTTACTAAATCTATATGCAAATAGGATTGAAGAAAAAAGTTTTAAAATCAACACGTTATTTTCACTGTTATTTGCCTTGTGTTATTTATCAAGATCTGCATGTGTATACTTTATTGTAGTTGGTAACATCCAGAGGTCTGATAACTGCAGTCAGATGAATCTGTCTGGGTCTTCCTCATCACTTGCCAGTGAAACCAGCAATAAGAACAGTGGACAACGCAGCTACGGAATAGGTGGGGCTTATTTGCAAAAGAAAATTCAGGAGATGATTGTCAAAACGAGAGACAGTTCTGACATGAGTGAAAAGGGAGAAAGCAAGGATCAGAGTGAAAAGGCAGAACTTGAGCATGAGCACAGGAGAAAGAAGGGACACT